TTAGTAAGCACTTACTTTTTAGCCTTCATTTGTTTTTACATATTTAACTAAACCAAGAAAACTTTATTTTTGTGTGAAAACTATTAGTAGAGGTAGTAAGTGATCATGATAAGTTGTTACTTAACTCCCTGTTTGTAAGCAAGCAATGGTAAATACCTGCCTCCGATGTCATCACTGAAACTACTATTGTGTGCGTAAATTTTAGTAAATTTTTTTTTAGAATATCCTTCTTTTGATTTACGTAAGAATATAATATAAAAATTTATTATATTCTCAGACTTTTGATTAAATTTTCCGTTATTTATGGACTGCTAATTTAAAATAGTAAACTTCTTGAAACCATGACTCATAAAATTATTAAAGATTTAAATGTCGCAGATATCTCGGATATATATAATAGACTAGACTAGATTTACATTTCGCAGATATCTGGGGCATTCAGAAACTAGACTATGGAATAGACTATAGACTAGACTATGGAATAGACTATAGACAAGAATATAGACTAGATTATAGACAAGATTATAGACAATACTATAGACTAGACTATAGACTAGACTATAGACTAGACTATAGACTAGACTGTGGACTAGACTATAGACTAGACTATAGATTAGACTATAGGCTAGACTATAGACTAGATTAAACTATAGATTCGGCTATTGACTAGACTGAACTAAAGACTAGGCTATAAAATAGACTATAGACTTGACTATAGACTATACTACAGACTTGACTATAGACTTGACAATATACTTGACTATAAAATAGACTATAAACTTGACTATAGACTATACTATAGACTTGACTATAGTCTTGACTATAGACTAGACTATAGACTAGACTATAGACTAGACTATAGACTAGACTAGACTAGACTAGACTAGACTAGACTAGACTATAGACTAGACTATAGACTAGACTATAGACTAGACTATAGACTAGACTATAGACTAGACTAGACTAGACTATAGACTAGACTATAGACTAGACTATAGACTACTAGACTAGACTATAGACTAGACTATAGACTAGACTATAGACTAGACTATAGACTAGACTATAGACTAGACTATAGATTAGACTATAGACTAGACTATGCACTAGACTATAGACAAGTCTATAGACTAGACTATTGACTAGACTATAGACTAGACTATAGACTAAACTATAGACTAGACTATAGACTAGATTATAGACTTAACTATAAACTAGACTATAGGCTACACTAGAATAAAGACTAGGCTATTGACTAAACTATATACTTGACTATAGACTTGACTATAGACTTGACTATAAACTTGACTATAGACTTGACTATAGTCTAGACTATAAACTAGAGTATAGATTAGACTAAAGACTATATACTAGACTAGACTGTAGACTAAACTATAGGCTAGACTATAGACTAGAATATTGACTAGACCATAGGCTAGACTAGAGACTAGACTATAGACTACACCAACGGTTCCCAAATGGGGGTCCGTGGACCCCTAGTGGTCCGTAGTAAAATCCTAGGGGGTCCGCGAAGACAAACGAAAAAAGCCATGAATAAACAATATTGTATCACTTTTATAAAGTAAGATATTGCCTGATATGTAATTTTTATTTCCTGTATATGTAGTGAAACAATGTTTTTTTATTTCAGATGGATAATGATCTGTCTTACAATTAAATAAGGGATACTGGTATTCCGGAGTATGAAGTTAGGCCACATTTCATAATTCAAAGACAAGCTTATACCAGATTTAAGTTTGTCAAATTGTAAGCAAAAGTGTTCTTGTTTGTAAGGACTAAAATTATATATTTCAAAAACTGAGGTGACTCTTTATGCACCTTCAATACGTTAATTTAGTTAATTTTAAATATAAATATTCCCTTCCGACGTGATACAAAGTTTTAACTTGATTTTATCGACCAATATTATTAAATTAACATCAGAAAATCCATATCGTTTCGCGTAAATATGTGGGCAAAACCATGCAGTAAAAGAGTTCATGTCCTTTTTGCTACCTTGAAGAAAAATGAACATGAAAGATCTCACGATCATAAAATTAAACATCATGTTAACATTTCAACAAAGAAAAAAAACCTATCGGGAATATTTTATAGATATGACATCTCTACATTTATTTGACCTAGGGATTTAGAGACTAGGTCAATTTTCGGACGAACAATTATTTAGAACAATAAGATATCAAAATATGTATGGAGGTCCGCGAAATTAAATAAGTTCCTCAAGGGGTCCGCGAAGTAAAAACAGGTGGGAACCGCTGGACTACACAATACACTGGACTATAAACTAGACTATAAACTAAACTATAGACTTGACTATAGACTAGACTATTGCAAGGACTGCACACTAAACTACAAACTTCAATATAGACCAGACTATAGACTAGACTATAGACTAGACTATAGACTAGATTATAGACTAGACTATAGACTAGATTATAGACTAGACTATAAACTAGACTATAGACTAGACTATAGACTAGACTATAGACTAGACTATAGACTAGACTATAGACTAGACTATAGACTAGACTATAGACTAGACTATAGACTAGACTATAGACTAGACTATAGACTAGACTATAGACTAGACTATAGACTAGACTATAGACTAGACTATAGACTAGACTATAGACTAGACTATAGACTAGACTAAAGACTACACTATAGACTAGACTATAGACTAGACTATAGACTAGAGTATAGACTAGACTATAGACTAGGCTATAGATTATAGACTAGATTATAGGCTAGACTATAGGCTAGAATATTGACTAGACTATAGAATAGACCATAATCTAGACCATAGACTAGACTACAGACAATAGACTTGACTGCAGACTAGGCTACAGACTAGACTACAGACTAGACTACAGACTATAGAATAGACTATAGACTTACCTATTAACATACTTTTCAATTAATACTACATTACTAAGAAGTAGTCAAATAACGTCTTATTAATATGTAAGCTGTTATATATGTAAATACTTTCGTATTCATTAGTCATCTTCTCCGTGCATATATGTATGAAGCTGTTAATGTTTTTCATACAACTTACATTGACAAATTTTTTCTCATTACATGTAAGCGATTGTGGTAAGCACTTGCCATGTTAAAATAATGACGTAAAGTGCTATTGTGTAAGTAAACTTTAGCATTTTACAAACATTTTGTTGGTTTTATATTAGAGATAGGTGTAAGATTTTTCTTAGACCCAGATAACGAAATATACATACTAGGTATTTATTTTGATTTAAAATTACTTTTAATTTTGGACATCATTGAACTGTGTCGTAGTCATAGTTTAAAATCATACGCAATCTCAAATCTAAGAAAATCAACATCATTAACATCATCTCTATACACATTATTTTAAGAATTTTCATTCATAATAATTTTGGGTGTAAAAACCCATTTTTTATTTGGAGGCTTGAAAATCATATTAAAACAACCACAACAACAAGAGCAGAAAAATGATCACCAAACTCTTATATTTAAAAAACACAAACACACATTTATAGAAATTAAACTCTTTTGAAAAGAGAGTAAAACTAAAGGTAAAATGATTACCTGTAGGTTTTTCTTTAATAACAACTGTAAATAACTTGTATAAGAGAGTTGATATTAAAAATATCAACATAAACGATCAATAATCAATTGGGGAGAGAGAGAGCGTGTTATGGCTCTCAGGTAAACATGAAAACAGAAACACACAAACTTGTATGAAGTGAGGGAGCAAATTGTTTGAAAGAAATCCTCATCATCACCTGTGTGTTGGGAAGTAAAGCAAACGACAACAACAATAATAATAATAACAACAAAACTAACAACAACATAACAGAGAAGCATATGAACAAGAAATACTAGCAAACAGCCAGCCAAGAGGCAATCCAGCTTAGATAATTTCCAAACAAAAACAAAGTTTGTGGTTGAGACTGTAACTCTGTGAAGCTAAATGATGGACTGACTAAATGGCTGGAGTGTGGTGGTATATACTAGCAAAACGTATAAGACAAAACTAACACTAGTAATGAATGGTTGGTTAGCTGGCTGGCTGACTGCTTGACTGGCTGTTGCTGGAGTGAGTGTTGGTGGTGGTGGTAAGCTAGAGTACGAGCAGCAGCAGCAGTAGTAGTAGTGGAAGTACTCTACCAACATTTTTATGTACGTCTAAGCTGAACCTTTGCTTATCCAGTCATTCAGTCTGAACTCGGTTACCGACAGCGAAAGAAAGAAATACGGGCCACACAGCACACGCGTAAACAGTATGAAGAAAATAAATTTATGAAAAAAACAACAACCACAATTTCTCTAAGAGTTTTAACGTTTATATGAAAAGAAAATTTTTTATAAAAAATTTGGTGTTTTTTTTTTTTGAGTAAACAAAACTTTGTTAAAGAAAACAACAACAACAACCAAAAAAAAAAAAGTAAAAAAGATAGTAAAGAAAATAACAACAAAAAAACCCTACAACCATACGAAACGATTCTATTCGATACAAAAAAAATATTTATCTAACAAATACACGTATTCATGCCAAATTGTCTGTGGACTGATTGACGTGCTTGTGTTTTTTTTCACCTCGTCGTCGTGTGTTCTTCAAATGGAAAGAATTTTCAAATTCAAATAGCGGAAAGCGGACGAATTTTTTTTTGAATAAAAATAAACAAATTTGCAAAATTGTGTTTAAATTTAAAAATAATTTTTAACAAATAAAAAATTTTTACTAAAAATTAAAACTTCAAGTTTTTTACAGAAAAACAAATACAAAATAAAATGTTAAAACCTTTAAATAAAATTTGCCGACGCTAAAAAACATATAGAAAAAAAATATTTTTTTTTAATAAAAAAATCATAAAAAAGCAATTTTTAAATTTATGAATACAAATCAGTGCCTTTTTTATTTTTATATAAAAAAAATTTTATAAATTTAAAAAAATCTCCAAAAAAGTGCTTTTAAAACAAAGAAAGCTTTTTTTTATACTAAATGTGCCATTATTTTGAAAAAAGTATTGTGTTTAATTTAAGAAAATAATTACAAAAATCTGTAATAATTTTAATACATTTTGGTGGTTTATTTTGAAAAATTAAAAAAAAGAAAAATTATAAAAAAAGTAATTAATAACAAAAAAATTTATAAATATTAGCTTAAATGCATACGGATATATTGATTGGAGATCAATTTGTAGCATCAACAAATTATTGGGTAATGCAGGTGAGTTGTTTTAAAAAAAAGTATTTAAAAAATCAGAATGTTATGAAAGTACTTTTTAAAGCAAAAAGTGAAAATGATAATTTACAATATGAAAAAAAAAACTTTTATAAAAAAATCTATTAAAATTTTAGAGAAATTTTAAATATATGAAATTTTGCTAATTGCACATGCCAACGATCACGTCCGTTTCTGTTTTTAAACTTAAACTTTAAGTTATAAAAGTGCATTCTGTAAGAATTTCCGACAATAGGACTACATTAACTAGTGACCCCACAGCTCTTACCTGGAAAATTGTTTTTTTTTGCAAAAAATTTACCACTTAAATAACATAGTGTAAACCGCATTTGGGGTATAGTCATAAATGGCAAACTCTACAGACAGCAATTTTAAAACTCTAGTTTAAAATTTTTCAAGAAAATTTTAAAATTTTGAGAAAATTTCCATATGACTTACGGACAATAAAAAAGGGTATAAAAAAGTAAAGAAATTAGGTCGATATCTCTCACAGATTAGCGGTAGCTATGATTTGATTTTTGAGGATTTCAGATTAAACTATTTTTAAAAGTTAAGCATCTTATGAAAAACTTTATCAGAAGGTAAAAATCCAGATAATAGGAAACTTACATCTGAAGTTTAAGTAAAATCGAGCAATTTTAACCCATAAACTGTCAAGCTTAAACTTAAGCTATGCAACATGGGACAATTTTCTTGAAACCCTAATGAAATATTGATTCTTTTCAAACGATTTAAATGATACTAAGGGAAATATACATATAATGTATACCTCTATTCATGATGACATGAAAAAAAAAAAAAACGAAATTAACCCCTTAAAGGTAAATATATACCAAGAAACTGATAGAAAATTCAGAATCAGATTCTGATTCTTAATTTTCTCTCTGTTGACATGACAAAACTATAGTTTCAGAGAAGCTTAGGATCAGATATGGACCTACGATTGCCATTGTACTTAGTTGTGTAATTTTTGAATGCATATAACAGAAAAAATCGAAATTAACCCTTAAAAGTAAATATATAGCAAGAAACTGATATCAGATTCTGAATCTTCTATCTGTTGACATGACAAAACTGTGGTTTCAGTGGAGCCTAGGGTCTAATTATGGACCCATGATTGCCATTGTACTTAGTTGTATAATTTTTGGATGCATATAACATCCAAACCTGTGCAAAATTTTATCACGATTGGTGCATAATTACCATTTTAAGCAGCATTTAAGCATTATTAAGAGGAGGTCGCTTGTACGAGGGCAAGGAGACACCGTGGACCGATGCTGTCCATTTCAAAATCTAATAAAACTTATAAATCTTAGAAAATATGTTCACCTTTTCATGTGGACCCTTTCTGTGCTTTCAACAGACAGACAAACAGACGGACGGACATTTGTATAGACTCGACTTGTCACTTGTACGAGGGCTAGGAGACATCGTGGACCGATGTTATCCATTTCCAAATCTAATACAACTTATAAACCTTAGAAAATATGTTCAACTTTCTGTGCGGACCCTTTCTGTGCTTGTAACAGACAGACAGATGGACATTTGTATAGACTCGACTAGATCGTCCAAAATGAATAGTAAACGGAATGACAAGTCTTTTTTAATACAAATATATATGTATAAAAATATAAACTAAAAATTTTCTTAAGAGTCAGAGTTAAAGATCAAAAGGCAATTTAATAAACGGATTAGTTAATATTAAAATAGAGCTTAAACTTCCAGCATTGATAGCCTAATTTCAAAAGAAAGATGCGAATCGTGGGTCTATTCAGGATTTGCTCACCACTGGGAAGCTACAACAGGGCTCAGACAGACAGACAAAGCGCTTAATTACACTATCTAAGGGAAAATCTCAAAATTGATTACGCTTAACACAAGCAATCTTAAAATACTAATGGGATTACTCACGGGACCTCACTACGATCTCAGATATCACCAATTTATTCTAGGTAATGCCATATCAAAATTATGCAGATTTGATAGCTGTCAGGAAGTAACCTCTGAACATACATATATGGTGTAACTGTCCAATGTTAGGATCACGTCTAGCTAGAATCTTGGGTGCTGCTTCACTAGCCCCGAAGGGATATATTCAACCTCTCACCAATCTAACCCGTTTTTATGAGTTTATTGAACCTGGTATGGTGAACTTACTGGCTACATAAAAGCTCTAAAACGAGGTCGTGGTGCTAATCTAGGGTTCTACAAATCGAATTTTAAACAATCGAATATTAAGAGTGCTACATTAGGCTGTGCAAATTTTCAAAGGTTGTCTCAGATTTTTGCTCATATCTCAGTTATTTTTAAACCAATTTGGCTGATTTTAAATAGGAAACTTCCTGAAAGCAAGTCAGATGGAATTTTTAAAGACTGAGGTCCCAAATATATCTGAGGTTTTTAGAAAATTGATTTCAGCACATACACACAGACAGACAGACAGACGGACGGACAGACAGACAGGACATGCTTAATCGACTCCGCTATCTATAAGGATCCAGAATATATATACTTTATAGGGTGGGAAAATTACATTGTAGAAATTACAACGGAATGACAAATTTAAAATGTAATTACAAAATATTTTTCTAGAAATAGGAAGAAGTTCTGTTGTAACAAACTTTACTAAATTTCTCATATTCTTACATAGAAAGAAAAATCGCATAATAAATGTAACTTTAATTTAATTCAATCTTATTTTGTACTTAATTCAAAAATACATCTTATAATTCTTATTTAGTTAAGAATACTTTTGCCATAACTAGTTGAGATACTTAAGCTATGTATGTATGTCACGGTTGTCAGATCTTACAACGTTGTCAGTAAAATATGCAGAAAATGTCTAACAACTGTGTCAACTTACAAATTTGGTCTTTGGTTGCCAGAAAAAGCAAGTAAGTAAGTTCACACGATTGTTAAGACATTTTCTGCCCATTTTACTGACATCATTGTAAGATCTGACAACCGTGTATCACAGTGCGTATGTATATTCAATGAGTATTTATGTTTTGTTGAAATGTTCTGAAGTCTGAAGTACGAATCGTAATGATTAAAGAAACATTCAAACTTTTAAGAGTTTAAAAAAAAATCCTACTTTATTAAAATGTTGACACATCTACCTATCTATTGATATACATTATGTATATCTTTATTTCCCTGTCAAAATATTAAAGACAAACTATAAAGTCGTCGTTATTAATTTATTCTTACTGTTAGCAAAGCGTCTACATAATTTATTTATTTTATTATTTTTTCATAAATTTCACCGCAAAAATTAACATTAATTAATATATAATATTATTTAAACATAATAAATAAATTAAACAAAAACAAAAAAAAAAAAAAAACTAATGCTTTTTAAAAACTTATATGAGAACTTAAACAAACAAACCATATAAGGCAAAATTTTTTAAACTATAAATGGAAGTTTTTTTTTTTTTTTTTTTTGCAAAATTTATAAGATAATTTTTGTGTAAAGAGAAAGAAAAAAAAACATTTCCAAAATATTATAGATTATAGATTTTTGAGAAAATAAACATTATAAAGCTTATGTATAATAAATTAAAACTTTAAAGGTAAATTGTGTAAAAAAACATGTTTGCAAAATTTTTAAAACAAAATGATTCATACGCCTCATAGGACCGAAACCGTGTGACAGAGAGATAAGAATTAATGAATTTATAAAATATTTATATAGAAGTTATAATTTCTTTTCTTTATTTGTATTTTGCAAAAAAACATTTGTTATCAAAAGAGAGAGAGAGAGGGCTAAAGAGAAGAAATGATTTTTATTAAAAAAAAAGTTATCAGCTTAATTAAATGTCATAAATTTAAACAAATATAAAGAACTAGATTTTTTTTTGAACAAATGTTTTGTTGAAACTAAATTGTCAAATATTGTGTCTTAAAATTTAAATATGAAATGATTTTTGAGTTTTTAAATTGCTAATAACTTAATACTGGTTGTAGTTTATAAAATTTAAATGTGAATGCAGTTAAATTTTGAATTTTTTGGTAAAAATCTATTATATTGTTAATAAGACAACTGAATAGAAAGGCAATAGAAAGAACTAGTAGCAAAAATTTAACAAAATTTCACTTCTGGTTTAAGTTATAGAAAGAGATAATGTTAAGCTTTAACAAATTTAAGTCATTTTCTGAAGTGGAGTTTGTAGAGGGACTAGGATCAAATGAGGACCGATGATTATGAAAAACGATAGTATCACTTTTTGAAGATATATTTGAATAATATTTGTCATAATTATGATCTAATAATCCAAATCGGAAGTTCTGTTGGGGAGGTCCTAGATTTAATGATGAACCGATTTCTACTATTTTCAAGAAGCTTTGTCCCTGATACAAAAGAGCAGTATGTGATATGTAGAGAGACTTACGTTTACATTAAAGTTATTTATGCAAAATTTTTATCGTGATACTAGTGTTTATAAGTGAGTTATTAATTTCAAGCGATTTTCCGAAGGGGATTTTGTTTGGGGGATAGGGTCAAATATGGACCGATCAGTACGAAAATCAGGAGTATAATTTAGACGTATGTATATGAAACCACGTTGTACCGATTTTTGTGGATATACTAGAACATTTAACAGAATTATGAGCTCAAAAGTTCTATTCGGTGGCTACGGTTGTATGGGGTCAAGGCGGAATAATGAACCGATTTTAACCATTTGCAATAGGTTTCGTCCCTAGGTCGAAAAAAGAGTATCTGCCAAATTTCATCAAATTATCTCGAAAATTACGACAAGGTTTACATAGAGACACAGACGGACGGACAGACAGGCGGACGGACGGACATAGATTAATTGACTCTGATATTGATTCTGCCATTCTTTAAGGTGGGTGTAGGACCAATATTTTTGGGTGTTACAAACACATAATATCCTCCCCACTATAGTGGTGTAGGGTATAAACAATAAACAATAAACAATTTTTACTACTAACAATAAACAATTTTTACTACTAAAAAA